TGCCATTCTATCGCTGTGTCGTGTTTTAACCCTAGCCAGCAACTAAACACCACACAGCCGCTCGCTCACTCTCCCCGCTCTGGTGGGATGGGGGAGAGAATCGGGAGGGCACAAGTAGGAAAACTCCCAGGTTCAGATAAAAACAGTTTAATAATTGAAATAAAACGAAGTAGAACAGTAATAGTGACAATGAGAACAACAACAATAACAGAATATACAAAGCAGGCGATACACGATGCAACTGCTCACCGACCGCGTGTCACGAACGGGGCAAGCCCCCCCCAGCAACAACCAAAGCATCAATGGGATGTCAATGCTCCTTTCACACCAAACCCCAAACACAGCACACCCTCCAAGCTACTGGGAAGAAAGTTAACTCTGTCCCAGCCAGAACCAGGACACTGATCAAAACAATCTGTAATATATGTAGACGAAAGCTGATCTTCCAGAAACAGTTTTCCATTATATTCTGGATGCATTACTGAGAAAATTTAATTATTTCATGACAAAGTTAAAGTCACTACGATGCTATAGAAGAAACTTTTTACAGTTAATTGCCCCACAAGACCCTTCATAAGCATATCATTAAATTTGCAAAACGAAGCAGCACACAGAATTATGAAGTAGCATTTTGAAGGGGCAGAATTATGAAGTTGCCAGATCAACCTTAACTTTATGTACGATTATGAAACAGTCTTAATTCCACTCAGAGCCATCTTCGGGCCACCTGTTTAAGCATGCAACATAGACATTTTGATACATAAAAGCAAGGTGTGTGGCCTCAGGACAATGTTTTAGGTCACAGTAAGTTAGGAACACTTCTGAGAGTCCCAGCAACACCCACCCCATCAGTCATTCAGGTGAGGTAGGATTAGATAGATGCTACCTAGAGCCAGTCCAGAGGAAAAACACGGCAGCAGGGAACGGCCTTTGGATACCTGACTCAAGGCTCTACCATCTGAGATATAATGTGGTTAGACAAGGTGGTCTGAGACTATTTCTCAACTCTGTAAACTGTAAACCCTCTTCCTCCCCGATCATAGAACTGTTTAGGTTGGAAAAGACCTTTAAGATCATCGAGTCCAACTGTTAACCTAGCACTGCCAAGTCCACCACTAAACCATGTCCCTAAGCGCCACATCTACACATCTTTTCAATATCTCCAGGGATGGGGACTCCACCACTTCCCTGGGCAGCCTGTTCTCCAATCTAAACCTCCCCTGGCACAACTTGAGGCCATTTCCTCTCGTCCTATCGCTGGTTACTTGGGAGAAGAGACCGACCCCCACCTCGCTACAACCTCCTTTCAGGTAGTTGTAGAATGCGATGAGGTCTCCCCTCAGCCTCCTCTTCTCCAGGCTAAACAGCCCCAGTTCCCTCAGCCGCTCCTCATCAGACTTGGGCTCCAGGCCCTTCACCAGCTTCGTTGCCCTTCTCTGGACACGCTCCAGCACCTCAGTGTCCTTCTTGTAGTGAGGGGCCCAAAACTGAACACAGGATTCGAGGTGCGGCCTCACCAGGGCCGAGTACAGGGCACGATCACCTCCCTCCTCCTGCTGGCCACAGTATTTCTGATACAGGCTACAGTCTCTGTCCAGAGACAGTTGTACCACCCATTTGACCTCAGTGTGAGCAATTCCATTTACTAATCTGGCAGAAAACAAACTAACTAAAATTTTTTATTTTGTATACAAGCATCATAGTATAAAGAAAGAGTCAAAACCATGCAACAGTAAGTTGAGGCATGGGGGAGAGAGAAATGGGAAGCAGGACTGCTCTTTCTGGCTCACTACACCATGAGTAATCCTTTTGAGAAGATTTACCCAACAGAGGAAGGACAAAAAAGAGGCCTCTTTCTGTATCAAACCCTAGTCCTGGTCTCTGCTCCCAAAATTATTCACAAACTTTATCCAACAGCTCTTAAAATGAAAAGCATGAGCAGGACTTGGAGCTGAGCCCTACACTACTCAAACTTGATTCTGAAAACAGAACGAGTAAGTTTCTTACAGACTTTTCTACGGTACTTTCACTAGAGTACCAAGTATTCTGCAAGCATTAACTGAATTTAAATACTCTGTCATCCTGTACAGGTGGTAGACCAAGGGCATGGAGGTTAAGGTCAAAAACATCCACCATTGAGTTTTCCAAGGACTTTGCATAACATGACATTTTACTCAAAAGGTAGCACCCTTTCCCTTCCGGAAAAAAAAATCAAAACCAAACAAAAACAAACCCCTGACACCCAGCACTTCCACAGATCAAGTCAGAATCCCAACAGCCCCATCTCCACCTTCTTCACTACTCACTGGTTCTAGTTTCCCCCCATTTCCCCCACACCTGCCAGTCCACCCAGGCTTCACTCCTTATTGCCCTCCTATCTAGAGACAAAAAAAAAGATAAATATTTGGGTTTTTTGCTAGCCTCTAACAGACAACTGAACTGTTTTCACTGAACTATTTCTTTCGAAAACAACATATTAAAAGATCAGCTTAAGACAGGCACATAGAACAGGAAATTTTAAAACAAATAGTTGGGAGTTTCAGAGATAAGCAATGGAAAACTGGATCTCAGAATGGAAATGTTGGATAGTCTAGAAGTATGCAATGCTTCCTGGCCTGTCTGAAAGAAGCATGATGCACTCATTACATGCTCTGTAAATTGATGGACTTCTTGAGTATTCATGTCCTAGTTTCTAAATATTTTGGTTTTGAAAATGAAGAGGGAAGTAATTCTATTGTTCTCTGTGGAGGATCATAATTGCTTTTATGATAAAGGGAAAAGTCTGTTGCTGATAAAAGTTAGCACAGATTTCTACACAGATAGGCCAACTAAGCCAGCAAACAGTCTGGTCTGAAGTGGCTTTCCCTTTCCATTTTCATTGCTTAGGATTTGAGGGATATTAAAACTGTCACAACCTTCATAAATGAAAGCTGCACCGTGTTTTCATCAGTATTAGATCTCTGGGGTTTTTGTGTGTGCGCGCAACTATTTGACAACAGTTTTATGAGCCCTAAGAAAATATAACAAATACTTTACATATTATTCATTCAGGCACACTGTGCAATACTGAATCAGAATCCACGTGGAGCTCCAGCCAGATGCAGAGTTATCCAGGGACATGGATGTATTCCCTAGATGCTATACCTAGAGAGGGCCTCGTGTCCACAGCCAAGAGTGTGGCCACATCTGTACTATAAATGACAGCAAGCCTCAGAGCAAGCGTAGAGCCAGCAGTTCAGATGACTTTTGCCCACTCTGCTAAGGGCTAACTCCCTCTGAACGGTACCAGCTGCATCCACACTGCGCAGTGCTCAGCCCAGGCCCCCTCCAGCTCCGCTGGGTCCCCAAGACAGTTATTCTCTCTCATGATCTTTGGTTCTAGACATCTACACAAAGCAAGGGTTGTGCTGCTGCATGGAAGACAAGAGCTCTTATAGTATGGGTGCATGTTATATGTCCATAGAAGGCAGGCTGGGAGCAAACTGACACACAGGCTAGGTGGGTGAAACAGGGAGACAGAAGCTGGTAAGGGACCAGACAGATAAGCTATGTGACAGTGTAAATGCATCCCATTTTCAAGTATTATAGAAAAACTGCTACAAAGTCAGTGTCAGACTTTATCAAACACATTTTTGTTTGAAGTCCACCAGTTAGAAAATTTTGTAAATTAACATACAAGGCAAGAATAGCTATTAAAAGTGATCACTTTAGAGCTCTTGGAGCTGCTTAATTCTACACTCTTCGAGGAAAATGCCACTTTCCCTTGCTGGAGATATCAGACAAGGTTATGCTCACCATTTTCTGCAAGCAAAGATGCCCACAGAAACATCAGAAACACTTGGAGAGCCTAGTCTAAAGAGATCTCAGCGCTGTCATTAACTGTCAGACACAACCCACCCACCTCCTTTCAGAATTGCACCAAATACCTGTATTTTCAGGAAAACAGACAGTTTTGAAGACAAGCATGTCATGCTCCAGCTGGAAGGAGCTGTGAAAGTTCACTTATAACCTGGGCACTTTTTAAGTGCCTACGTGGATGCTGGATTTTGGAAATTGAAGCTCTCTCTGTATTTTCTGTGCACTTGGAAGTTTGGCACCAAGTTGTCTTGAAAATTTGGCACTTGTTATCAAACGAAAAGCACTGAGGGCTGGACAGACAGCCTTGGCTTCCCTCTAAAACAGGCTCCCATCAAGACCCTTTTTCCTGGGAAAACGTACTCCTCATTTGAGAGATACATGCAATGCAGACTCCACAATGACACTATGCACTACAGACAGGGAAAAAATTAAATCTTCCTAGATTCTAACTTTCGTGCCATGAAGGATCTCTCTCTTTAGGAACTAGTGATAAGGAGGACAACAAAGGCTGTTGGAGCCTGCTCGGAGATGGGAAACGGAGAGGTGGAGCGTTCAAGTTCTCATTGAACCGGTGAGAGCCAGTCCAATACCTGCTCCCAGCAATAAAGTAGTTAGCTGAAAAATTGTTTCTACCCTCTATTATATAGGACCCATTTAAACCACAAGCAAACAGCCTACAGGAGCACCAGCAGGAGAGGAACAAGCTCAAAGGTGAAACTGCACGTCAGGGCATATTTTGTTTGCTTAGGGGTTTTAGTTTCCTTTTTTTGTTTGTATTTAAATAAATGCTACCTTTCTGCCAGGTTGAGCATGTTATTCCATACTGCAGCATCCAAAGCACAAAGAATCACTTAGCAGATGTAATTTCCCCCCACCCCCCCGACATTTTCCCATGTTTGTTTTATTCACTATCCCATCAAAGGTTTGGTTCTCTTACCTTAATCACTTCTGGGGCCTGCTGAATTAAAGCTGGAACAGAGTCTCTGGAGGCAGCCCCAGCATAGCTTTTTTGCCCTGCAAGGAGGGACTGTGAAGGAGTTGTTAAAGTTTCCTGAAGAATCTGCATCACTTCCCTCTCCTTGGACAAGCTTCCCTTGCCTGTCTGGAATTCCACCAGTTCCTGGGCAAAGTCCTCAATGCTTTCCAGGATACGCAGTAAAAGGGCTTTGTCATCCTCTTCCATTTTATGACCATTGGTTTCCATGATTTTTGACAAAGGGGAAGTGGGGTCAATGGGTTTACTTTTGGGTTCAAGAGCCAGAGGTAGTACCTGCCTACCCTGCCAGCCAAACACTTGCAAACAGGCAGGTTCACTCTCCTTTAGAGAAGGTTCCTTCAAAGTAGTCTCCATTTTCTGTGAGAAGCACTCCAAGTCCAGCAGCAGTTTGTCTATCTCATCCTTGTCTATCTTACTGCACATTTGCCCTCCTTTGGAGACATCAGCTTGGGAACCACACAATACAGAATCTGAAATTGGTTTTAAAGGAGTAATTTTCTCAGAAGTGTGGGAGAGCTCAACATCTCCCACTCTAGCACATTCTGCTTTAGCATTAGCAGTTAGATCTGAACAACCAGCTAGCTGGTAGCTGCGCTCTAAACTCTCCCAGCCCCCTTTCTGTTCTACCTTCTTTATTTTCCCTAATGTTCTTTCCCCATCAGACTCCTCCTCAATGTACAGAGCCTCAGTGGAAGACGTGCAGTCAGAAGGGCTTGTGGCTGGTAACTGAGGTAGAGCACAAGCATCTTTCACAGCTCTCACACTGTTCTCCTGTGGGACGCTGTGAAGGGAGTTTGAGGTAAGGCTCACAGTACTTGTTTGGATGGACTGAGAGGTGCTCGTCACCTCACACTGATCACCTGGTAGTCCAAGAGGAACTGCACTTGAGGATGGCAGCTGAATAATATCTTCGTATCTAGGTGGCTGTTCATCTCCAAATACTGTGGGAAAGGGAGTTTGCTGCAAACCATGAAAACAGTTAACTAGTTCTGCCAAGTCACTAGCTTCCTTGTGTCCAGGTGGCTTCAGCTCAAAGGGTAGCTTTTTCAGGTATGAAGAAAATCTTGTCATCAGATTCATATATATCATTTCTGAATTAGCCAGAGGATCACTGCTGTTCCCTCCACTAACACTGTCTGCAGACTTCTTTTTGATGCAATGTTTTATTATGTCTGTGCACTTTTTCAGATCCTCTGAGCACTTGAGCAAGATGTCTAAGCACACCTTAATATCTCCACCAGAAGAACCATCTAGCTTGTGTTTTTCCAAAATCTGGGTAATGAAGTTTTCTTCAGAGAAGGAATGAGGGGAGAAGGGAACCATGGGATTCATGGTGACTTCTGGAGCATCATTGCTTTCCTGCCATTTCTCCACAGGTGAGGGACTCTGCAAAAAGCCACACGGAGGGCAGTTCTCATCATTGTTGAAGTGCCCATAAATCAAGTCAAAATCAAATGACCGTCTGCTGAATGATTCTGACCGAACTTTCCTTCCCTTTCTGTAGGCCACATGACTGGAAGAGTTTTTGAGCTTTTCAAAGGAGAATTCCTTTATTTTACCACTGGCAAGGTTTATCGCCTCACCGGTAATGTCCTTTAAACTGCTGGAGGTTTGCACTGAAGAGCCCTTTTTGATTCTTGGATTATTTGGAAGGATTTGCTGATAGTCCTCATTTCCAGGCAAGGCAAGTCCATTTTCAGGAACAGGAATTTTATGGTCTAGGTTGGCATCTTGGACACTGAGCTCTGCGCAGACACTGTGGTGGGCAACTACGCACGTAACTCCTTCCTTAAACACTTGGCAAGTCCCTGTGCAGTAATGCACGGTGTGCTGAAAGTGCTGGTCTATCACGACACTGCTGTAGCAGTTCACAGAAGTGACCATAAGCCTGTAGGTTGCTGCCATAGCACGGATCACGCTGGGAAGGGAGGCTTCAAAATTCACCATGAACTTAACAGGAAAAAGTTCACGCCCCCACTTTTCACAGCCACATCAGATTTAATTAAAAAAACATTCAAATGTCAGTTGAAAATATTCAAACTACATGAGAAACTACTGCCTTGGAAAGCTGTAGCGAAGTCTGGAGTGGTATCAGCATTACAGTTACAACAATTAGTGCAACTTGCATATGGTTTAACTTAAGGCAACTTGATTCTTGTACTCCATGCAGAAAGCTTTGCTGATCAGACATGCAGCACGAGCTGCTCCCTTTCTAATGGTCCAAGTAGCTTCTCCAGCAATTGTCATAAAATTCAGCCAGTTCTTAGGCAGAAGTGACAAGACAATGATTTTTGTTCGACCCCTCTCTCTTTTTGGGTGGGTCAGTAAAAGATAGATAATCAAGTAGCATTGGCAACAGCCAAAAAATCCACAGTATGCTTGTGAGATTCCCCTCTCACACTGGTAAGGTAGGTCCCTGAAACAGGAAAAAAAAAAAGGAGAGTCATTATAATTTTCATGTAATATGCAGCCTTGTCTACTACCAAACATATGGCACCAGACCATAACAACTAACACGCAAGCTTGTACAGAATAAGAGTAGGCTGATATTTTTCCTTCACTCAGATCTACCATATAAGAACACTGCTGAGGAGCTAGCCTATATTTATACACAGGCTGTCTGTGTGTTGCCATTTTAACAGCTCTATTTTAACCACTCAATTTTTTTCAGATTTGCTTTTTTCCCCCTCTTCAGACTGAAGAAAACATTACCTTTAATTCTAATGGAGCAAAACATTTTGATCGTGTTGTGAATTTCTGACTTTCATTTTCCAAAACTCTAAAGATAAGGCAAAGAACAGTAGAGAAAAGCACTTTCAGGATTTCCAAGCTCTCTGGATTATAAAAAGCTGCAAACAGCCTGAAGCAAAGTAGATGAATGCCTCTAAGAATGCATGGCCTCTAGTAAAGGCCACACTGGCTTCCCTTAGCCTTTCACCAAGGTCTCTGGGACCATGCAAAATATTTTAAGGAGGAATAACTGTTTTTCATTCTCTTACAACCCATAAATAGCAGCATATCGTATTTAATAAGTCCGCTGGTGTAGACATCAAGAGCAGAAAGTAACATTTCTATAAAGGTAAAGCCTGTGAAAACTAGGAATTGAGTGTTTTACACTTAGCATAGCCATTTCCAGCTGCATTTCCTATCTTCATGGTCAGACTTGCACCAGAAAAAACAAAGGCTGCTTAACTTTGTTATGAAAAAGCAGGAAATCCCAGATTTAAGGGTCTTAAATTTTAGACATTGCTTCATCTTTCTTGAACACGTCAATAATCAAATTAAAACACCCCGATGAAATTCTGAGCACCCTCTATTCCTGTACAAACAGAAATCCATTTCATGAAACATGATTAAATCACAGCTAAGTCACACTGCAGCATGGGTTTCTTTTGTTTTCAAAGGTAAATATCTAGCACTATGTGAAAGGCCAGACCTGCATGTGATGAGAGGACTGCCCTCCATGCATGTTACATGCCACCTATCTAGCTCATAAGCCCATACAGATGTATCACACAAAAGGGAAGTACCTTAAGAGTTTGGTGCTGTTGTAATTAAGGACTGGGGATAGCACAAGACTGCTGAACATTCACATTTTACATATTTTAAAGCCTTAATTTGAAATTGAGAAGCACTGATTTAAGAGCATTCGATGGAATTTGTGATGTGCCATATCTGCTCATTGCAATTAGGGAGAATTGCACACTGTAAAGAAACGCTCCCAATTTGTTCTTTGGATTATATAAAGCACTGAAATGATCGCATTCAAGATGAAGAACTAACTGCTCCAGATACCATGCTGATATCTGTAACAGGCTGCCACCTGCCTATCAAACACCGCAGGCCAAGTTGCATGTTGTACCAGGGCCAGCTTCACAGTACACTTATGTGCCTGTCCTGTACTGCTCCCCTCTACACCCACTGGCACTGCCCCAAAGCCCCATAGGCATGGGAGAGCCTTCCAGAGGGATGATCAGAGGTATGAGGTGTGCCTCAGCCACAGCAGTGAGTCAGGGTGCCAGGGGATAAAGGGCGTAAACAGAACTGTTTTTAAACCCCAGGGTGCTTATACCATCAGGCATAAACCTAGGTAATAAGACTCCACATCCTCCAGTCACTGACTCTCAGGCTTTGCTAACAGGTGTGCTAAATGCTCTGCTGAATCAGAGCCACAGTTAAAAAAAAGTATTATTGGCTTCTCAACATCATCATCTTATAGGACTTAATGGGCTTTGTTCAGACAGGAAAACCCATGATTCTATGCCTTCAAAAAGTCTAATCACCCATGGACTCCCTGAGAGTGCCTTCTGTCTAACACATTCAGGGTAAGAAGTATGCTGCTTTTCCTTTTCTGAGCCTCCATCAACTACAAACAAGCTTTCTGGCATTTCCTGAAATAAAAGTGAGTAATATTCAGAGAAAGTAGAGGTCTTCAGGACAGCAGATTTGATGAAGAATTAATATTGCTTCTGAAAAAGCATGGGACTTACTTTCTCAGAGCTTTTTCCTCCCTCTGTACCATATACAGCAAGGAGAGACTGGTCTTCTTTTTACCACCAAAGAATAGTCTGGGTTTATACCTAATTTGGGAAATAATTACATCTTGATTAAGTTACTCCTTAATTAGAGAAATAATGTATTAGACTCACTGTCTCCTTCTCCTATATGACTCCAAGGGTAATTTCCTCCCCACACATGTACCCCTTCCACTGGGTCTAAGTAAGTTTCTCCAATCTTTTAAGCCACCTTCAAACAACGAAGCTTTTTGTGTCTGTAAGGTTATTCCACAAAGAGTTCTTCGATGAAAAGGCCTCCCAGATTCCCAACTTAAACTGACTCTTTTTTAGTTCAACTTTGTATTTCCAGCTATGCTCTTCCCACCATCTCCACTTCATAATTCCCAAATAAGTTTAGGGGGGAGAAAGCATATGCTCTAAACCATTGCTCAGCCATGGTACAAATAGTCGGCCCTTTCTGCTTTAGTATAAGGCAGACCCTCCAGGCACGTTTGCTGCATTCTCTAATCTCTTTCCAATTTTTATTTCCCTGGTACTACTGCACCCAGAAGTTGACATAATCCAGACACAAACTTTTCAAGGCTAACACAAGATTGCTACCTCCTGCCTCTATCATCGGCACCTTTTACTGCTGTGTCAGGGAAGGAAGTAATCAAAGAATCAATATCAAAAACCTGATGTCCTCTTTTCAACCATGTTAGCTAATGTCTTCTCAGTGATTATTTACTACTTGCCTTATTATCACTGTCTGCAAAAACATGCTAAGGTTATTCAAGGTGCTGGAGTACTTGACTCCAGTTATGCAAGACAAAAAAAAAATTGTATAGGCAGCACAAGTGCTTATAGATGCAGAGCAGAAACAATTTTTCTCATTTCTTCACTGGCTTGACCAAGATAGCACATGCTCAGCTTGCAGCTTTATTTTACAGTGATCCATCAAACATGATCCAGCATGTAAACCTAGTCAAGACAAAACCTAGGAGAGGAGTACTCCTGTTATCAGATCTGGGAACCTTGTCTCAAGGCTTAGCTTGAATGGGCTTTTGTTGTGACTTTCGGTTGGTGACTAAAACCTACTATTTAAGAATAGCAACAATGGAAAGACTGAATGCATTAAGAAACATTCATACGTCGTTCTTTTCAGCCTGCCATTTCATTCCAGTTGTGACTCTAGAACAGCCCCCAGATCAGATATACTGTAGAAAGATTCTGTAATTAGGACTGCTGCCACGAAACCAACTCCAACCCTGAGGATACAGGATTGGCTTCACAATATAAACTATGAATGAATAGGGTTTCTTGTGTGATTGCAGAATAATGCTTTATGTCTTTCCTATCTGCAAGATGACATGAATCACTTTCCAAAGGGAAAAAATTATTGCAGATACTAATGATATAAAAGGTTATTCTATAAGACACACAAGAAATTCTATTCATGCAAAGATTATGCTGGAGTTAAATAACTGAACAATGACAATCTGTTAGACGGGGACTGTCAGCCAGCACTTGACTTACTTGCAAACTGAAGTCTAGAAAGCTACAGGACAGGCCTCTACTGCCTCTGAAAGTCTCAAATTAGGCAAAAATCTTCTTGAACTCCTATCTCCAGCACTAGCAACATTATTATTAGTGATCAGAAGTTAGAAACCACCATAACCACCAGTATGGAGTAAGCTAGCCCTTTCTGCACCAGCACACAGCATGGGTGTCACTATGCAACTGCGCTCATTTCTAGTGGAAGAGGTGGTAGGATAAACTCTGAAGTTTGGAATTCTTGCAAAAGACAGGCAGAAAGACAGAACAACAGTTTTGCTATTTGGACAGTCATCAATATAGTTTCAGAAGTATCATCCTAGCTATGTAATCAGATGTCAGGTCTTACCCTCTTAGAGGAGCTGATGGTGCCAAAAAGCAGCATATAACTGCATCCTCTTATTTAAAAACGCTTGATTTTTGTTTACAGTTTACTGAACAAAGCAGATTTGGGAGCAAACTATATTGTTATAGAAGACAAAAGCAGGCAAATAACAAAACAATGTTTTCTTGCAAAGCACAACTTTCAGCCAATCTTTGGTACTTTGTCAAATAATTGGGAAAAAAAGAGTATTAATCTTCTACTCATAAATTCTTTAATTTTAAAACCCACTACAGAATGGTACTGGACCCTGAGATGTATCATTACTTTTCCTACTACCTGGCTCAAGTCAGAACATGGTAAACTTTAAGAGTCAAAAGCACGCTACAAATGCATGCATCAGAATAGATGAGGTGACTCACTCAGTTTAAGAGAGCTGTCCTGCAGCTCATAAAGGAGCTGACACTGAGCCACGCTCCACGAAATCCAAAGGGTCTCTGACCACACAGCCAAGTGGTTGCTGCTCCAATGGCCCAGTCAACCATTGCCAGAATTGACAGGGTTCACATGACTGC